CCGGTAGGAGACGAGCATGGACCAATCGAACAATACCTAGGTCTGAAAAAACCAAATGTATTGACAATTTTTCGCCTCATCCAAAACATCGTGGGATCACCGATTTCCTTTTGGTTGTCTAGTCGTTGGCAGGTTTTCCGATATGGACTATCTCCCATGTAAAATTAATCGAAAGAAAATTCAATTTGCAGAACGAGCAAACACTTAGGTATTTCCGATAAATAAGCATTACCCGGACAAAAGGTGCACCTGGCCCCGCGTTCCATTAAAAGAGACAATGAAAAGCGCGCCCAGTCGAGCACTACCCGGAAAAAGCCCGGGCGTACGACGGAGCGAGAGAAGAGGAGTAGGAGAAGGAAAAAATGAACGCGCAAAAGAGCTGGGGTGGTCGTGCCGAACGCAGCCCAAAGAAGAGTGCGGGTTTGAAGAAGACAAGGGCCGGGACGGGAGGAGGAGGAGGAAAATGAGCGGAGCGCAGCAACGAGAAAATAAAAATCCGCCTGACAAAGGGAGTGGCGGATGAAACGGGTATTTAAGGATCTGTACCGAGCTTTGCAGAGAAAAAAATAAACACGGTATCAGTTGAACCGGATGGGATTTTTTTTTCTTCTTCGCCTGTGTGCATATAGCATGGGGTTTTCTTTGGTGACTTTGGAGCCCGTTGATCGGAAGACCGGTGGACTTTGGCTCGATGATTCATCGAGTGGCTCGAGAGGAAACTTATACAGATAATTCACCGCGATAAAAAAGAACAACGGGGGCGCGTTGATGTATGCGGCCATTGGCGATATACACATACTGCGGTGAACTTCTCCCCAAACTTTGCTCCGTGCCTCGTGTGAGTCAGCGCATCGAGGCATGACTAACGTAATATCGAAAAATGCCACAACTCATTCACAGGGCACAGGGAGGGCCATTAATCAGAGCTTCCATCTAACCAACGCTGCTGCTCTACTCTTTTTTGAAAAACGAAGGAAAAAAAAAGAGGAAACCTCATCCTCGTGCGTTTTGTATACCGTGGGTGCGTTTCCTAGTTGAAATTAAAAAATGAGAGAGTAGTATAGCATCGAGTCCGTGCACACGTAAGCATAGTTGGGAATGGGGGAAGGGAAATAAACAAAAAAAAATCGTCCGTCGAGGAGAGGTGTAGAGATAACAAAGAGAGGAGGGACGCTTAAGCGGATTTCTGCGGCTGCGAGCGATTATCCGCTCGCGTGGGCGACGACTGGTACATACAGGAGCACGGGGAACCGGGCCCCTCCCTCCCCATGCGCGTGTGGAAGGGAAGCCTTATACGTGGGTCTCGGTGTGTCTACGGGTATCGTGTGCTTGAGCTTCCAAAAGCGCGTGGTTTAGTTGGCGACAGCCGATTAAAAAATTCAACTCGTTATACTCTGTACGAGGAATTTAGGGAGAGAGTTCGAAATAAAACTCATTCGAAACTCATTAGTCTGGTTACCTGCTTACATATTCAATACCGTCACCTTTACTTTTGCGCATTAAAAAAAAATCACCACCAATTTAACCAGCGGGAAAATAGACCAAAGGACAATTTAGAAACGTTTCTATTTATACACTTTTGGCCCAATGTTCTAATTGACCGATACAAAGCTACGCGACATAAAAAACCTTACGTCAGAGGCAGAGAACAAAGGAAGTCCGCCGTGGATGTATAATAAAATAGCCGATGACCGTGAAAAAAAGAGACAAGGCCCGTTGAACCCGTATAACATATCGCTGAAAGGCATTTGCCTCGCTGACTACGCCAACTGGTTCGCGTGCGACCAAGAACTGTACAAAATATTTATACAGGTGTGAATAGTGCACATAGGCATTTATATGTACGTCGGGGTGTGGACGCTGACAAGCAGGATTGGAATCCTTCCGAGTGAATCAGCCTATAGAGCAGCTTCGATGGGAGAACATGAGGCTCTGCTAACCACAGGAAATGCGAGCGGAAATAATATATATTATTCATCTGCTATTGAAAATTTAGTCCGTTATTGCAAACAAAAAATCAAGTTCGCCAAACGCTAAAATAACGTCGAGCCTAAAAAAAAATCGCTGCATAAAAATAGCACAACTCGAGTACAAACGAATTTTAAGCAATTTGAGTTTCGATGACAAATGCTTTTAAGTTGATTGGTGCGTGCAGGCTACATCAGATTCGGTGAATGGTATTTGTTTGGAAAAAAAAAAAAAATTATTCAGATGATTCGATACCACTGTACTTGTGTATGCATCGACCGCATGATTAATAAGCCCGTTTCTTTGAACCGATGGTTGTACCGCAGTATAACTGGCTCTGTTCTACTCTCTATACCGGTCTTACGTTCAATTTTTCATACGCCTGTCATGACACATATGGGTACAGATAGAGCCTAAGGACAAAGCTACTACTGCCACTTTGCCAAGGGATACGAATCTTTAATTTGCATTGTATGGGGTGTATTTTTTATCGTCTGTCGTCCTCTTGTCTCTGCCCTCTTGTTCTTGATAAAGGACTGTAATCCATTGTATCAATAAGCGAACGGATTGATCCTTCCTACAATGGAGTACACACTTTTCTCGTTGGCAGGACAAAAGAATGCTTGTTATTTGCAGAAAAAATAAAAAAGAGGAAAAACGTGCAAAATCATCGCTGCCGACTGTACCAGAAGAACAAAGGACCATTGCACGAGTAAACCTCGCTCGAGTTTTATGAACAATGCCAAATCGATATCCTCATTAGAGCGCGCACATCAATCTTCTTGTTATTTGACAAACATTCACATGGCCAAGCTCTGGATCATTCCTCGGAGCGCGGCTGAGTCGGCGTGCCAAAAGTAGCCCTGCGGCCATCGACTGCATTTTGCGTACGTACGAGCGTAGAAGAGAAAAAAGACCGAGTAAACGGAGGAGAGAGAAAGAGAGCGGGAGTCAGCGGCAGCTGTTATCACTGAGAAATGAAAAAAAAAAAACAGAAAAAAAGAGAGAGAGAGAGGGCATTGTTATACTGTACTCGCCGACGAGTAGGATATGCATTGTCCTGTCGTGTTTAACGCGAGGTTGTACTACACCATAATCGAGGATGTACGTACATAGAAGCGAGTGAGAGTTGGCTGGGAGGTAATTCGGGCGAATAGGTGTATAAATATAAATTTATCGGGAGTATAACGAATGGCCACCCTCCAAAGGCCCGGGATTAGCCGATAAGCCGATCGTTGTGTCTCTGTGTGGCTACAGAAAGGAACGCGGAATTTTGAGTCTATCCGTGGGTTATGGAGGATGTACGCATTGTTCGATTAATTGATTAAATTTTTTGGACAGGGTTTCTGCCAATTCAAGGATTTTCCACGTACGTCCAGTTTATCTCTTTGGCGTAATGTCTGGAATGATGACTCATAATTAATTACTAATACGGAGCTAATGTGAGGACTATACTGATGTTATTCTGTATACCTATATTTCCCATTTGACTCATCATATTTTGACACTCTGCACCCACAAACGAATGAAGTATACCTATACACTTGAGAGTTTCAGAAAGGTCACACTCAAACATGGGTTTGTATTCGAAATCTCAATGAAAATACCACAAGAGTACTTTAGTAATAGCGTTGTTGCTGTAATTGACGACTTGTAGTGTCATTATATGGATTTTCAAAGAAAAAAAAGAGCGATAATCCGTATTGCTGACGTTTGACGAGCAGACTGCAGATGTATGTATGCATGCATTCAAAACGACGCGGAATTTGTAAACGCACGCTCTTCGATCATTCTGCTGTCAGGGCTTTGATTTATCGGGTACTCTGCTTGTATTTTTATTCTCTAGCGATCAAACTCTTACGTTAATGAACTTTCGTTTTATCAAGTGTTACGCAACTGAAGTTAATGAAGCACGACTCGTGTACGTCCACGAGGGTATACTCTCTCGCTCGAGTCCCGTACGCTTGCACACGTGAGTGGGAAGTGAAAAAAAAAAAAAAACTAATATTAATTTTCAATCGATTGGACGGCCAACGCGCATAATCATGCGTTTAACGGGTTGCTGAGTAATTTAGTTGATCGGTAGAAATTGAAATGCAAGAAAATGATAAAATAAAGCACGTACCGGTAGCTCGAGAACGCATTTTCTTTTTTTCATCGATCGCGGATTTGAATAGCCGATTTACAGGTATACCTGTAAGGTACAGTAATGTCTCTCGGAATAATGTATAATTCATTTCGTCTCGAGTTCCATTCGTAGGAAGAAAAAAAAAAAAGTAAGGTGCTCGTGCACACTCGTGCCGATAATAAATAACGATTCGCAAGACCGGAGGTATCGGCGGAAAAGTGCGGTCGAAGCGGAAAATGGGCACTCGATGTCTCCGAGCGCGACTGCCTGCACAGAGCTCCGAACCAGCAATACGAGAAAAGGAGATATCGGAAGAATCATTCCACCCCTCGGTCGCATCCGCACAACAATGGAGTGTTTATTATCCAGTAATCAGCTGAGTACTAAAAAAAAAAAAGTACATAGTCGATAGGCCACTCTCATTGGAATACCTCTTTTACTCATCGCGCACATATCTACGTGCAGGTACTCCCGTGCATGGGCTCTCAAAGAGGTTGGATCTAGTTTGATTGTCCTTGGGAAAGAAACACGGCAGAAAATTCCCGCGATGCCGACCACAACGAGGAGAGGACAACGACGACGCGAGGATGCATGAAAAGGAGGAGGAAGATGAGAGCTGCAGAGGGCGAGGAGAGGAAGAAGAAGAAGAGGAGCGCACAGGGGGAACAAAAACAGAGGGACCGTGCCAGAGGAGGGAGAAAGAGGGGAGTAGTTACGCGAGAGAGAAAAGATCGTCGGGTAAGCAGCTAAAACACGTGGTGGAGCACCAACCTCCTCCTCCTCCTCCTCCGTGCACGTCCACGAGAGGAGACCGTAGGCTACGGCAGGCTGGCTGCACTTAGTGCAGGCGTACGCGCGCTGGCCACCAGCAGCATCAGCGCCAGTAGTGCCCACTTACGCTCTTCTCTCTTTCCTCTATGTATTATACTCCCTCCTGTAGGTTCTCTCCTCGTGTGTGCGCGGTACCTATAAATATAATACACGCGGCAACCGCGAGGATTCCACCTTGTGTGTTGTTGCCCGAGAGAGCGAGCGTCGGCTTCCCCCTTTCGACTCGCGTGCAGTGCTCCTGTTGTACCTACGTATACCCATGGAGAGCCGAATAAACGCAAAGTGCCAGTGGTGTGTGCGGTAGTACGCGTGTAACAATAATTTCGTGTTTGGTTTGTTCAGTGGGGATATTTCCCATTTGTCGAGAAAAATTTATAACGATCTGTGTTTACCTCTCGAGAGAATACATTGCGCGTTCGCGATCCATGGCCAACGATACTTACGCCGAAACGATTATCAGCACGGGCAAACTTTTACAGCAGAGTGTCATCGCGTATACCCGTACGAATCGTACACCGGTAAGCCGATTTTCGTTTTCATTTTTCTTTTTTTTTTTTTTTTTTTTTGTATTGTTTGCGCCAATTAATTCACTCTCGCGATAAGTAGGTCTACACCGTCGGCGCTGGCTACTTGAATCGCGATTAGCGTTTTGTAACACACAGCATCCGAAAAAGGATGAAATAGCCAGTTTTTCGCGAGAGGAGGAAGAAACAAAAGAAAACGAAGAAGAGGAAGGTACAACCGATATAATTCTCGAAAGGTAAACACACATCGGGTCAACGACACCCCGCGGAGCGATAAAGAGCGACGTGGGTGAGGGGGGAGGGCCGCGAAGAAGCCATGGATCATGTGACAGTGACGAGAGGCGTGCACGAGTAAACGAGGAATCGTGTGGACCGAAAGAAAAAAAAGTACAGAGCCGTACGTAAGGTAACACCGAAGAGGAGGCCGAAATCTAAGGGGCATGGCTCCGTATCATAGCTATGTCCTCGTGCTATTGGTCGCGACGCTCCTCGCTCGGGACATTCGTGGTAACGATACAACCCCCGCGAGTTATCCCAACGACCACCCAAGCCATCTGCATCGCGCGCCTCCACATCACCACGGCCACCACAGGGTAAGCGCGTCTTGTCGTCACTTTGTAACCCATCAAACGAATGGAAATTATCACTCGGAGCACTAGAATCGTTTGGTCCTTCCACAGTATCCGAATTCTCCTAGCTGGACATCGTCGGGGCGGCACAACGCGCACGGGGTCCAGTACCCGCACGGCCGACACAACCACGAGTCATCGTTGCGCCGGGACCCGCTGATCGGCTTCCGTAACCTCGTGCGCTACTCGTCAACGACACCGGCCGCTCTCACGATACCACCCTCGAGATTTAGCTTTCCGCCCCTACCTGGGAGCACGACGACAACGAGGTCTACAACTCCAGCGAGCACCACGTCGAGGAACGGAGTGAGGCCACTGGGGTACCAGCGCTCCAGTGCTCTAGCTTTGGAGCCGAGCGCGAGCAGAAGCGTGGCTTACAGCTCCGTGGTGCGTCCCGATGCCCAGCACGTTCGGCCGCAGCAACAGAACCTCGGGCCGATCTACCCGAACGTGGTTACCACGACTACGAGCGTCTACAGCAAGTACCATCCCGGGTGAGTGATGCTCGACGTAGCTGTACATGTACTCGTCGATTTTTAATTGAGCGGTGGAGAAAAAAAAACACGTGTCCTACCCACACTCGACTGTTTCTACTGGTGCGTGTTTTTTAATTATATGAGTGCAGCCGCTAGTTCGTATACGACAATGATGTTCGCGAGTCGTGTGCTAAGCTAGTACGAGCAAAGACAAAAAAGGGGGGGGGGCGCAATTTATTAGCCGATCGAGCAACGCTACATGAGCAAGCGAGATCGTAAGAGCAAACGATCGTGTACCTTAATTCCCGCCCGAGAGCTCGTATCAGCTCATTTCTCAATAATAAGCGATTCGATTGAAAAGATCCATCGCGGGCGATGGTACATTCGCGGAGAGAACCGGTCTCGCGCACTTTACGGCAGTTTTATAATAATCGATCTAACTTTACTCATAGCCACGGTTGTACAACAAAGCACAGGCGGCTCTTGAAAGAAATCGGGAAGGGCTTTGGCTGAGGATTGAGCGATATAGGAGCACATCGCGCCATTGCGTATATATTTATTTGGGTACGCTGTGCGCCACCGTCATTCACTTAGGCGCTATGGTACGTCGTACTTTTGATCCAAGAAATAACGAGGACTCCCAATGTAGAAAAAAAAAACAAAAATCCAAGGCCGAGTAAAATCCTCGGGAAGGAAAGAACAGGTATTCGAAGCTAATTAGAGCCAACGGTGGCTATGCTCAGTCCCACTGAATAATTGATCGGTCCAGAGTGCAATGCGGTTATCCTTCCTCCCGCCCTTCTCCCTCCTTCGTGAGAACACGTTAAAAATCGAGGGCTCTCGCGTTACCGATTAGATACATTACACACCGAATGCGCGATTTCAAAGCTCTGCTCTCTCTCTCTCTCTCGGATAGAGTTACCTCTGTTAGAATCGACGAGCATGACCTATATGTATATTCGTACCACAGCCGAACGTTGAAAATCGGCAAAACCTACTGTGCTTCGGTGTAAGTCCAAAGTTTATGCAGTATATACCTCTACCGGTGTGGTTGATATGTCTTTTTAATCCTCTACCACCAACAAGAAAAATGAAACATTTTTCGCTCAACGCAAAACCGATCCGTAAATTTACCACTTTCAAGAGCACAGCTGCGGTGTGATCCGGACAACGCGTACACTCCGTGTGTGTACAACCGTCGAGCCGATCGATCGGTTTTCCTGGCAATCTAAAGAGTCCTTTTAGACGGGGCACGATTTTCTCCCTCGCAAAGAGGTACACACACACACCCGTGTACACGTAAACTAGCGAGTCATAATAATTGATGGCCAGCGCACGTCAGCTCAATTGTGCGAGGCGATATTACGAAAGCACGGCGCTATGGGTATATATAATATATACATATGGACACGATGGTGTAATGGGCGCTATATATAAACCAAGCGAGCAGCGGGTGGTGGCTATTTGTGTGCCGTTAAACGTTATCTCTCCGGTGCGCGTGTCTGCCTGTAAATAGTAATATAGACACGTGTCTTCGTGCGGGGGGATCGTGATTTGTTGGAATTTGATGGAAAATAAGGAACAGGACGTACCTACATTATAGGATGGGAGAGAGAGAGAGAGTGAAAGTATATAATCGCACGTACATTTTAGACGTTTTAATTTAGCCGATGGAGCCTTATTATTTAACGCCCAATTTTCCGTGTGCCTCTCCGACTTGTAATTTAACATTAGGTATATATATATATGCGATATACCCGTGGTGGTAGCTTTTTAATGGCTATCGGGTTTGGAGAGCAATAAATGCGTAATGCAATCCCTGCCAATATTATGTATACGGTACCGTATGAATGTATATACGAATGTTTTGAATCAACAGATTTACGGTGGCATAAAACGAGAATTTTAATAATAGTCGTAAACCATTGGGCGTTACTGTCTTTGTATACAGGAATATGTATCTCTGCAGAGCAATACGGATGACAAACATTTTTACCCGACTTGAAGCAAAATTTTCCTTTGTTGCCTTGCAATATACCCAGAATACGTATATAATATCAAGGATTCATCTTACGAATGTACTGCTGCGCGGTGAGATCATTGGGATTAAAAGGTCCGATAGTCGTCGCGAATGAAGGGAAATGAAAAACGTCTTCTGCAAGCGTTTATGCTCATTTGACGCAGAGCAAATAATAATGGCAATATTTCATTCAACTCTGCCTCTTGAAACGTACTTCTTGTAATCGGTGTACGCGAATATTACTTTCTTCCTTCTTTTTTCTCCGTCCTGTGTATATACGTGTACTCGGTCGGAGCACATGAAGCCAAAACATGAATTTTCTCAAATCCAATCTTTGGTAGTAAAAGAGTTTAATAAAAAAAAAAAAAAAAAAATCAGTTTGGTAATAGCAAAAACTTTTATTGCACCTTAAATTTCACCGTAGTAGTTGTCTTCTGACGTATTACCGGTATAAACTTTACTTTACGAGTGGCGCCATAAATTCGCCTCGAAAACAGCTGGAATGTTGATCCTCGGACCCCTGCACACGTAGCCGCACACAAGAGTTGAAAAACGTCGAGAAAACGATGATGAATAGACACACGCTCGGTCGAGTGTCGTCGCGTGCAGGTGGACCTCGTGAATTCTTTCTTTTTCATTTCTCGAGATAAAGTTTCGTTTCATTTCTCAGCGATACAAAAACGTGAGGAAACGACAACAATTTTTCAGCCACTCTACCGCGCAATCCGTACAATTAAATCGGGCAAAACAAAAGCTCGTTGCAAGTGTCTCATTCACCGCTGTAAAAACGAAGGGAAACGAGAAAAAAAAAGCATGTGCTTCCGAGCTTTCAAGGGGTCAAGTGAGTTTGAGCTTCGTTTTGGCGCTGTGCCCTGTTTTTTTTTTTTTTTTTTTTTTTTCTTNGTCTCATTCACCGCTGTAAAAACGAAGGGAAACGAGAAAAAAAAAGCATGTGCTTCCGAGCTTTCAAGGGGTCAAGTGAGTTTGAGCTTCGTTTTGGCGCTGTGCCCTGTTTTTTTTTTTTTTTTTTTTTTTCCATAAAGAAATTCAAAAAATTTTTGTACCACAACGACAACACCAATGTAACTTTAGTATCCCACAAATCACAGAACGGCGTGACAAGAGTGGTAGTAAGTGATCACACGTGTTGTCGTTGTCACCTATAAAGTACTCGCACGTACCAAACATAGAGACAAAGGGATGTTTTACGGCGTACGGATGTGTACACATCCGCGTCCCCTCGACGTTAATGGACCACGCCGAGGTGCTCCTCTTGGTACACTACTGCAAACAGCCGAGGCGCGCACTTTGCGACTCCTCCAGCGGCTCACAAAGACTCGTCTAATATCAATGGGGAAGGAGGAGGAGGAGGAGTAAGTAGTAAGCCGAGAGACACAGGCGCAAAGTTGCTCCTGACTTCGCTTTACCTCAGTCGTGGAGAAAGACGACACCATTTAGTATCTCTCTCGAGGAGCACCTATACGTATCTGAGAGCTCTCGCTGCAGAGTAACAAATTGAGCCGACGAGTTTACGCCTCTGTTAGTGTCTGAGTCCTTATTGAAGCGAGCATTGTGTCCCGGTGTATGGAAGAATATTTGAATATCGTACAGGATTCCGATGGCAGGATATTTTGCTGGTTTCCTCACTTTGGAGCGTCATTTTCTTTCTTTCGGTGGTAGGAGCATGAGATTTTTTTCCTTCATCTCCGGGGTTTAAACGCGTCATTTGCATGCAGATTCTGTCTCTCGCGAGATGCAAGATATCATCTACGTACGCGTGTTTACATGCATAAATATTACGAGTTTTGGATCATAACATTACCTGTGCAGGTTATTCGATGTTTTTGTAGAAACTGTACTTACTGTTTCGTTAAGGAGAATGAGAATTTTTTCCACAGCGAGAGGCTCTTTAGCTCCTGGATTTGCCTAATGTACACCTTCTACGGAATATTTTGGCGATAAAATTTTGGCTTAATGATTAGATACCGTGTTTTGAATACTAATTGATAATCAAACAATGCTTCTATGGCTGATTTTTCAGACTCAATAGTGTTAAGTAGAAACAGCTCTATATGGTAAGACGTCCCGCCAAAGAATCACAAAAGAAATATATATGGGAAATTTTCGTACAATTACACTGGTAGACTATTTGATTTTACAAAACTGTACTTTTCAATCCCTCGTGTATTATAACTCATACAAAACGATGAAGCCTAATCCCGCAGATTCTAGCAATGATCGAAAATACAAAAAAAAAAGGATAAAGAGAAACACTCCTGCTTCGGTCACAGTAATGCTGAAAATTTCAATTATACTCTGAAAGCCGCTTGGGGGAAGACCGATTCGTTTCTACGCAGAACGAATAATGGATTTGGTGCATGTGGAATTTCAAAAGTAAAAGCCTCTGCATTCCCTCTCTGGCCTATTTGCATATTCCGGAAAATCCCTCTCGCAGCTAGCGATGGTATTTCACAAAAATGCGATAGGAAAATCGCCGAGTTCAGCCTCTTTTGTGTTGGGCGGAATTTATTTTTTTTGTCCAATCCGTGAACATTACCTTCAGGAGTTCCTCGAACTGTGATTACTTTGAGCTCGATGTTATTTTTTCTTTCATTCATCGAAACTGCTCGGTATGAAAAAATTGCAGAGAGGGCTAAACAATGAGCGAGATGGAGATTGAAAGAAGAAATTGGGATTGAAAAAAAAAAAGGAATTCGAAAAATGAGCAGAAGAAAATAGGAGGATCTAAAAACTGTGGAGTGAAAACGACAAAAGAAGGGAACAAAAAGCAGGGAGCCGTAGACAAGGGAATGGGGTCTTGAAAGATGGTCGGATTATACAAGAGGAAAAATGAGAGGCAGAAATAGTCGTTCCAGCGCTGAAAGCAAAATATGGCAGGAGGCCAGGTACAAGGTATGAAAAGCACAGAGATGATAAAATACGAAGCAGAAAAACACTAACGGGACATTTTGTCTTGTTCAAACTGCACGATGTACCG